TTGCATTCCCCTGTACAATTTCAGCATAATCTATCACTACATATCGAGATCAAAACACAGTTTTATGGGCTCATTCGATGAACCCGGACCTTACGGGCGAGGACGCTACAACCATCGCATGCAACCGGAGATCACACTAAACCAATGGCGTAAAGGGTCTCAATGGTTTGAAGTTAACAGAAGCTTGCTATCGATATAATTAAAGACACCACTTATTATCCCAAGTTCAAGGAGTTCTGTCGTCCTGCTTGTTATGTCGACGAGCACTATTTCCCCACAATGCTGACGATCCAATCGCCTCATCTCTTGGCAAACCGAACTCTTACTTGGACCGACTGGTCAAGGGGTGGCGCTCATCCGGCCACTTTCGGGAAAGCTGATATTACTGAAAGTTCCTTTAAGAGAATTTTTGAAGGTCAATCATGCTTATATAATGGCCAGCCATCAACTATTTGCTATCTTTTTGCAAGGAAGTTTGCTCCAAGTGCTTTGGATCCCTTATTAGGGCTGGAATCCAAAGTTTTTGGGTATTGAATATGTCTAGTTACAAAGGTGATTCTTGGAGTTAAAGCTAACCCCGTCTCTGTTAGTGAGGATTAATCCAATTTACCTTGAGTTCACAATCAAAACAGTTTGGATGTATAAGAGAAGAGAGGGTTGTAGATGTTCAGATTCGAATCATGGATTTGTTAGATGTCATAATGTCGGTCGTACGAACCGAGTTAAACCCTTAATTTCAGGTATAATATTATTAATTTATATGTATATACAATATGATTGAATGAAATATCATATTTTGTGTCCAACATGTACACTTTTCTTAATTTATTCCCAATTTCCTCAAGTGGATGTTAAATCAACACGTCATAATTTCCTAGAGAAAGTTCCTACTGATCAAAAGCAGCCTAGAAATATACCTCTCATTTTCTCTTAAAATCAAATCAAAACTGATCAAACCTCTTGATCAGTAACCATTTTAGATGTCTCATGGAAGGACCCCGTTAGTTAGGCTTCAACCAGACAGGATGCTTCTTTTGAAGACTGCGGCCAAAATGGTGAAAGGGCAACAACCTTCCCGATTATGATTAGTGTTGGCGATACTAATTCCTCCGTTTTGATTTTATCGGCAAGATCCTTTAGTTCTGCAAAGGCCTGTACCATTATTAAAAGAATCCATACTTAGCATAAGATTTATGGTTACAATGAATTGCCCCCTAATGCATTAATTCATGTTGTGTATGGCATTGCAAAATGGAATCATTAGATGCTCTAGATGTTGTGAAGAAATCATGTATGATTGTACTTACAGTGCGCTGTTGAGGTGTGGTTCCTTGCTCAACTGCGCGGGTGGTGTATCTGGTGGTAGGCCATGATGTATCAATTTTTGTGCAAGAGGAGGGAGGGTGGATAAGCCCATATAAACCACTAAAGTTGAATCAGGTTCAGCAGCATTCTCGACAACAAAGAGAGGATCCATTCCACCTTTTCTCGAGTGACCTGTGAGAAATCTAACACTTATTGCAACGCCTCTATGGGTCAAAGGAATACCCACCTCTGCTGATATTCCAGAAGCAGCAGTAAGACCTGCAATGCAATGCAACAAGTATATTAGATTTGAACCGCATTTCTTATACAATCAGTTCTACATTAGTGTGCATTGCATTTCTTCTTCAATATAAAACGTCTTTCATAAACCAGAACTCAGCAGTCCACACATGACCTACAGGTTATTGTCTCAAAAGCATGAACCTATATGATAGTAGTTCAGCAGATGCTATAATCTATGAGAAAAATGCTCCCTTTCATCATCCAAACTATTTCCTACCATATGAAACTATTTTCAAACTAGCTTAACTTAGTATAATGCATGACATATGATCAAGACAACTCTGCTTTACCTTCTATCCATGCACTGTTGTTTTGACACACCAAAACATCCTTAAACCCTCCATCCCAAGTTTTTCTTGAGCTCCATCTTTCCTACTCGTTTGTTCAGCTTTATTTCTTTTGATTACTGTTGTTTTTCTTCTTACCGACATCATTAAGGTAAGTCCATATCATGTAAAATCAAAAGACACTGATAGCTATTTCCAAATTGAGGACATGAAATCAGAAATAAAATTGCTAATGCAAATCTTAGAACATTATAGTACTGGATCATACCAGGGATCACCTTCACCTGAATCCCTTGCTGTTGCAGAAAGTCCATTTCTTCTCCACCCATTCCAGATACCTGAAATATCAAAACAGTTATTCCAGGAAAAAAAAAAGAACTAGACTTGATAAACATTTCTACTAATTTAAAGGGAAAAAATGTTGGCAATTGTTTGAATGACTGACCAGTGGATCCCGCTTCAACAAAACTCATGGATCTCTTCCTGCAAGAACATTTTATTAAGATGTTATTTAAAAAAATATAATATAATATATTAACATTTTATTAAGATTTTATTAAGCTTACGAGCAACTAAAAAATATAATATAGTAAGATTTTATTTAAAAAATAAAATAATAATAATATTAACATTTATTTTTTGATTTTTTAAATAAATATATAATATAAAGTTTTTATGTATTTAAGGTTTAAGTTTGAATTTGAGTTTGAGGTTTTACTCGATTTAAGTTTAAGATTTTTTTTCATTTCGAGCTTTTACGAGATTCAATTCATGGTTTCGAGTTCAAGTCGAGCTTGAAAATTTTAGGCTCACGAGTTTTCAAGCCGAGTCGAGCTCAGCAATACTCGAACTCAAAAATCAACTCGTTTACAACCCTAGTTGTATCCTTTTAAAATTCCAAATTCATTATTTTTTATTAATTATTTAATTTTACATCCTTAATTTTTTTTTTAAAAATTTCTTAAATCTACGCTAATAAACATAAAACCATATGTATGTCTTCATAATTAATTAAAATAAAGATAAATTGATGTTGTTGAGGAGGATTGAATTGATTCGGACTAGACAATTATTGTAATTTCACTAAAAATTGTTATTATCATATTGGTCAATCAAAATGGTAATATTTTGGTGATTAATGATGTAGTTTATTTTAAATTTTATCAATCGTTATAAAATAATTATTAAATCTTATTGAATTGCTATAAAATGATTATTAGAATTATCAAATTTTTAAACATATAATAATTTTATAGTGCACAAACTAAGTTACTTTAGTAGTTAAAAGAATGATTTTTATCTTTAGATATTATAGGTTTGAACGTCATCGATTACCATAAAATTTAAACATTCATTGTTAAATGATTGAGAATCTTAGATACTATCACTTTTAGATTAATCAAAAAATAAAATCACAATGATAATTTTATACTAGTTCGATAAATTTAATAATTATTTTATAATATTTAAAAATTTAATAATAATAATGAACATTAAATATAATTAAATGATATCTGATATACTTTATTTATATATTTAATATAATTAAATTTGATTTCGTTCTAAATATTTTTTTACTTCATCAAAAACGATGTACATTGAGATTGAGAAATCATTTTATTTTATCATGTGAAAGATTAAAAAAATATTTTTCTATATTTTATAGTTAAAATATCAATAAATATATTTTTATTGTATTAAAATAATAAATCATATTAAAGGCAAATTAATTAGAACTCATTTATGAGTAGGATGACCATTCGATCGAGTCGAGTCGAGTCAAAATTAATTTTGAGTTATTCAAGTTGACGAGTCGTATTTTATAATTCAAACTTAACTTGAAATTTTTTTAAGTCGAATCGAGTTATTCAAGTTTCTATATTAATTTTATTATAATTATTTATAGTATAGTGGCAATGATTTGTTCTAATTTTTTTTGACTATCTAACCATATATATATATATATATATTCTTTTTATATTATAATGTTATTTAATATATCAAATACAATATAAAATTAAGAAATATATTGATAATATTATAATTTAAAGAAATTATTTTGAGGATAAAATATCGATGAGATTATAAATGAGTCAATGAATTTATGGGAATAAATAATTTACAAACAATTGTAGTCAAAAGACCAAGTTGAGTAAAATGTAAAGTTAAGGACTAAATAAAAAAGAGAGTACACATTTATGCGATTTTCCATTTCGCGTTGCGATAGTTGAAATTCGCGTTGCGATTTTTCATTTCGCGTTGCAATAGTCTACAGCTGTCGTTGCGATTTTCCAAATTCGTTGTGATAGTTAAAAAAAAGATTTTGTTTCTTAAGCCACGACCCGAACGAGACGGACGGCGGCGGCGGCGCGCGAGAGTCCCCCTTGTTCTCTATCACTCAACAAGGAAGTGGGAAAGCCAAGCCTTAAATACCATTCCAATAGTGTTTCCAATACTATGTGGGATTTGAGCATTACCAACACTTGTTCCCAATACTATGTGGGATTGAGCCTTAAATAGTGATATTATTTTTGAATGTTTTGCTTAAAATTGCAATAATCGCGATTGATTGTAGATTGACTTTTAATTATGACATATTTAATCGTATAATACTAATGTTATTGGTTGTTGATTCAGTTGTTTTAAGGTGCATGATTGTTAATTGTTTCCTGAATAATCACATTGTATTGGAAACAAGTGTTGGTAATGCTCAATCCCACATTGTATTGGAAACATTATTGGGAATTGTATTTAAGGCTTGGCTTTCCCACTTCCTTGTTGAGTGATAGAGAACAAGGGGAACTCTCGCGCACCGCCGCCGCCGTCTCGTCTCGTCTCGTGGTCGTGGTCGTGGTCGTGGTCATACGTGTCTTCGACACGTCCGCGCGTATACTATCTTTTTAGAGAAAATTCTTAAGAAACAAAATTTAAAAAAAGTTCAATTTTTAATCGAGGAAGGGGCTAAGCTATGCTTTATCTTGTGGATCAGTCTCCGTTTTTATTATTATTACAAAATATATATATATAAATAAATTATTTAAATATTCTAATTTTAATTTATTTTGATTTTATCTATCATGCATACGTTTATAACTTTTTTACGTATTAATAGTGATAAATCGAAATGTTACAACGAATAATGGCATACAAAGTCGAGCGATCGAAGGAAGAATTCTCGAAGATAACATAACCTTGAGCATAACGGAATTTGCCGGTCCCGGAAACCACACCATATTCTCTAACAGTCGTGAACTGATCACTAGTACCTTGTATCTGGATGGTGCTACCATTATAGGCCTCGTTGGTGAACACAATTGAAAGGGAGACATAAGTGCTGACCCCATCCAAACTTGCAGTGACGAATATGCCTCGACCACGTCCGACAGGGGCTGATCCGGAGTCGGGGCCTTCGGTTATGGGATCATCGGACACAAACAGAGTTCCGAATTGAGTTAAACTCCAGGGCTTCCCGGGAAAGCCGACCACCGCACGGACAGTTGAGTTGGGGCCGTCGGAGGAATAGTCATGGAAATAGACAGACATGTTGGTTTCTTTGAGTTGATCACCTGCTTTGCCTTGGACTGTAAAAAGAACCATAGATGTGGCTAAAACAAGTAGCAATGGCAATGACGAATGGGTGTTATTTGCCATGGAAGTGTAAATAATGACAAAACTTTGATTTTGGGCTTCACTTTTTATAGGCAGATATCATCATTGGCCTAACCCACTCGTGGATCAAAAAGAAAAACAAGATATATTCGTGGAGGTGTATGATGCGTGAGTTCCACGAGCAGATACAAGTGTGTCGAATCTTGATAATGGGGTTCTATCGGCAACCAACATCAACAATTTGTTTGACCTTCTAGTAGTTTAAACAACGAATACTGTGATTGAAAGTAATAATATATATATATATATATATATATATATATATATATATATATATTCAAAAAAAGGCCTAACTCCATTAAAACAGTTAAGAATCTTAACAGTTCATGTAAATTGTCTTCTGATGACCGAAGTTTCAGCTCGGCTTTAAGTAGATGGGTGGTAGCCAATGATGCATGAAGCGCAGCACCATAATGAAGAACATCTTCATTGATCATGAAGTGTGGCGTTTGGACTGAGCTGAGTTTTGGTCTGCTCTCATCTTACATTCCAAGGGAAAAGAAATATCCGGAGATGGCCTCTTGGTAAAATGCAAAATCCTCAGATAACATCAATGGTTTCATGTCTTGAACTTTCATTGCCAAGCATATTCCCTCCAATGTTCAGGAAAAGCTCGCGCAAGTCCTCATCGTTTACGGTCGGAGGGAAAAGGGGTACTGGTTTATCATGAAAATCGATGGTTGCATTGCACCTTTGTACGGCAGCTTGCCCTTTGATAACCTGTCAACTTGACTAAATCAGGCTTCTGGGATAGTAAAACCAGAACATATAAGAACCTTTTTCGAAACTTTCAGTCATTCACGGAGCTTTTATTGTCTATTACCTCCTCGATCCTCTGCTTAAGTTGTACTAAACTCGCTTACAAAAATGCTCGGAATGTCCCTCCAATAGTAACGGAATCTGGAATAACATTGAAAGCACTGCCTCCTTGAAACTGTGCAACTGTCACCACCTACGAGAAAGAGTATCACAAAAAAGGACTCATTTGAAGAAAGAAGGCAACAACACGAACCAAATCATTTACTAATGTTTGCATAGAAAGCAAAGGACTAATGTACCTGGGAATCCAATGGATCAGCTTCACGCGAAACAAGTTGTTGTAGGCTGACAATAACATTCGAGGATGCCAAAATCGGGTCTATCGAATGTTGAGGAATGGCTGCATGGCCTCCTCTTCCACTTATTACAACAATGAAGATGCCGCTTCCGGCTAATAAAGGACCCGGCTTGAAGGCCACTGTCCCTATTGGATTCTCATGCGTAACAAGCAGTCCAAAGATTGCATCAACATTGTCTAACACACCTTCATCTAGCATCTTCTTCGCCCCTCCATCGCCTTCCTCAGCTGGTTGGAAAACAAGAATAATTGTACCCTGATTAAGAAACAAAACCCAACAGCATCAAGTATCTCATAAGGGAAACAAGGAAGCTAACAGGCCTAACACACTCGAAACTGTGGAGGCACAATGCGACTATCACTAGGCAAACTGATACCAGCAACAGAATCACAGGCTAAATTGACAATAAGCTATATTCTGCGATCTTTCTTCAGTTAGTTTACCGGTTTATCGAGACTACTTCAGTTCGTCTTGGAACATACTATAAGCATCAACAAGAGGCCTAAAAACCAAACTTAAAGGCTTAATGGAATTGGTTTCTGATAAGCACATTAACAATCAAAATCTGCTTAGAGTGAATTGGCAATTCGCACCGCTACTAATGCAAAATCACGAGCAGCAGAACAATAATCGGGGCAAGAGAAAATTAACATTACACACCTTCAACTCTTCAACATGCTTTTAGTAATTTTGCAGCACCAAGAAGCATGGAAACATAAGCATCGTGCCCGCAAGCATGCATCTTTCCAGGAATTTCTCTTGTGCTCCCAATCCACCTCTTCCTACAAATTTCGACAACTCGTCAATAAAAGTTAATAGTTGCTCAAAAGTCAATGACGAACAACACCAACCCGGAAAGATGTAAAAAAACTGAAAATTTTTCAAACTTGAATAGGGAGAGCATCCATGTCTACCCTTATAGCAACAAAAGGGGGTTTACCGGTCCCAACAAAGCCAACAACACCAGTGACTGAAACAGGGTAATTATGAGGAATACCCAGTTTATCCAATTCTGATCTGATCAACTTACTAGTCTCAAATTCCTCATACCCCACTTCAGGATTCTCGTGTATTTTCCTCCTGATTCCCACCATCCAATCAACAAGCTCCTTTCGTTAAGAGAAATCGATAAACTTTTTGGGGATTTCAGATAAACCATCGGAACTCGGAAGTGCTTGAAGACGATGAAAAAACAACTGTTGGATTAAGGAGATGAAATATCAGAACCAAAGAGACCAACTTGATAAACCCATGTTTGTTTTCATGGAAAAAAGTATGCTTGTCTACCCTTCTCCCTCCCTCAAAAATATTTGACATATCCCGTTCTTGTTATATTCTATTTTATTTATCCATGTTTTTTCTGCCATCCATTGTTCGCTCATCGTGTAATTAATCTTATTTTCTCCTTCTTCATCTTAAATTGTAATTTGATCTATACCATTATCGAAAGAGGTGTTAGTGATAATTGGTTTTGACGGTAATAGATGAGATTTAGAGATTATAAATATAGGATTTTAAAAATAAGAATTAAAGTTTTATTATTTTTGAAGTATTTCGTGAAAAATAAGAAAAAATAAATTTTTTCGTATGAACAAATTTATTCTTAATATTTAAAAATTAAAATATGTGTTAAATATTGATTGATTAATTTTTAACTAATTGTTATTGATTGTAATGATAATGAGCTTAAAATAATAATTTTGAAAATAGAATCACTTATTTTGATAAAAAAAATTAAATACCGAATAATTTTGAAATTTATTTTTAAATTAAACTTAAAATAATAATAATAATAATTGATAATTTTAATTAATTTATTTTTAAATATAATACATATAGTTTTTATCAAAACTATTATTAGTCAAGACGATGGTTTTAATAATTAAAATAAAAATAATTTTATTATCCTAATTATTTCATTTCCCTAATTTTCTTTGTGCAATACATCTCCAAATGAACTGTCTTTGTCAATGGGGTGTACAGGATGTTGTTTTGCTGAAATTCTAGGGACCTCAAAGGCAAGGACATCTTGGGTTACCAAAATGGATAAACATGTTGGGAAACGTGCCCTAAAGTCATTTTCACTTTTTGAAATCTAATTCACATGCTTTAATTGAAGAAATTTGAGACACACTTTTGGTGATATATATGTGATCACTGAGTTGAGACTGTAGGGGTCGCCTTCGTCTCTATAGTACCCGATTTAGATTAATTGATCAATAGATCGGATACTAATAAAGTAAATCGCTCCTTAATGTGTGTTGGTCCGAGGTATATTATATATTTCTTTGGCGTAAAAATTATCGTCACGAACTTGTCCTATATATCTACTGTGAGGTATTGTCAATTTTCCGAAAGCAATATCTATCTACCAGATATGAATGCTCTGCAACTCTGTAAAAAAGAGCAAGGGAACACGCCTCACTGCTGCCATCAATATCCAAAAACTAAGGTGCCAAGAGAATGATGATGTATGAGTCTCAAATATCACTTTCATCATCTTCAACACCGTATACAGTAAATTGCAGCAACGGGACAGCACAGAAAAATAGACTCGAAAATCAGCCAGCCAAGTTGGGTGTTTTTCTATGGTTTTTACAGAAACCAATAACATAAACAAGCATAGAAGGCCGTGCCTTCCATGGTTGGCATTGCGTATTCATCATTAGATTCATTATATGGTCGTGACTTTAGAGGATTACGTACCTCCAAACCGGCCTCACCCAATGTACAAACAAACAAAAGCTAAAGTGACAAGTCACGTATGACGTGGCTCTCTCTATTAATTAGGTTAAAAGGTGAAAAATAGTAACCAATTTAGGCGTTATCTCAGTATTGGAAGAAAATTATTGTCCTTCGAATGTATTAACTTTTTCTTTGATCCCAAAGAAGAAAACCCTTTAGGTTGGTTTGCCTTGAAGTACACACTTTTTTCTCTCTCTCATTAAAGAGACCGATTTGCCCTTTTGAGCTGACACTTGGACCCCATTTTGTTAGTCATTACAACGAAAGTAAAGATTTTACCTTTCGTTAATGGGGAAGTCTCAGATTCCGCAATTTAATATACGGGTAAAAAATACGAAATATTTTTATTTTTTAATATTTTTAATAAAAAATTATTATTTTTACTAAAAATGTTATTATTAAATACTTTATTAAATTTATTAACATATCCCGTAAAATATTATTTAAAATATTATTTTTTACCAAAAAAAAATATTAATATTATATACTTTATCAGAAATATTAAAAAATATTAATTTTTAAATAAAAAATAATTTTTTAAATAATTTTTATCAAAAATGTTAAAAAAATAATAATATTTACGTGCTCGTTACTTGCGAATGCAGGTCGATGGCAAGAAGGGCTTTTTTTAGACCTCATTGGTTCTTTTGAGCTACAGGGTCTAGATTCAGGTGCTTCTTCTCTTTCCTTTTAAATTTGGGCTCTGGAAAATGAATGGGATTGAAGAAGAAGACCCTATTGTTTTCGAGATTTCTGTGGTGGTTCCCAGAAGGAACCTCAAATTAGAAAACGAGGGTTTTGATTGTGTTGAGGTTCTTGTCAACGAGTTCAGAAATGTGGGTTTTTTCGTTGACAGAGTTCTTGGCCTCCATGATGAATTTATCAAGGTTTGTTTTCTTTTCTTTCTTTCAAGTTTGAACATTTTCTACGTTGTCCCATGGAATCAATTTTTGTCCTTTTTAGTATTGTGTTTTCTTGAAAATATCTTCATTTTAATAGTTTATGTCTCCGTCTGCTGGTTGTTGCAGCTGGATTAAACATGTTCTTTTACAATGTACAATGTTATTTCTAAAGTTGAATTTATTGCCTGTTATGTCTTGTTACTCAATT